CACGAGCTCCCTCCTCATCTTTGCCACCTTCTCCTGCATTATTGGCTCCTGCACCTTGGTACTGAGGCCGTAACCCAGGTGCCCCCCGTTGCTGGCTGGAAGAGGGCCTTCTCCACCTGCTCCCACACCTGGCCCTCTGTGGTTCGGTCGTGGTGACAGGTACGCCCAGGGACAGGACAGACAGAGAGCACACAGAAGTTCACAACTCTGTTCTACTCAGTTTTGACCCCTTTTTTCAACCCCATGATCTACAGCCTCTGGAATAAAGAAATGAAGGGTACCTTGGAGAAAGTTCTAGGAGGTTCCTAAAATTGGTCTGTGATTTAGTGAGTTATTCCCAGATGAGTTCAGACTGTGAGCCTCCTGGCAGTGAACCGTTAAAACTGGAAAATAGATGTGAACTTTTTGAAGGAGCCATTTCAAAATCCTAAATGCCAGGACATGAACGAAGTCTTTCTTTAGGCAGAATTAATTGCCTCTTCCACAGAACATTACTTGTACTTCTATTTAATGTATCTTTTCTTCTTTCTTGTGTTACAATTAGCTGTTTATAAACCCATCACCGTGCCTCCCCATCCTTACTAGACTGAATTTCTTAAGAGCAGGGACCATGCTTTATTAATTTCTGTGATCCCAGAACCAACAAAGTACCTAGCACAAAAATGTCAAAAATGTCAATTTAAACTTAAAATATATACTGTTAAAAAATGCTGTGAAATCATTTTGTCTAAAACATTGCATAGTCCTATGTGGGACTGTTGTTATGGTTCCATTTCTTGGTGTAGACTAAGATTAAGGATAATGAGGATCGCGGGATCACCTTGAAATGGGAGAAATCTTGCTTGTGGAGATGACAGTTACTGGAACCCTCATACATTTCATCATGTTCCCTGACATTAGTGTACAGCATAATACAATATTTTTCAAGTTTATTTAGAAGCTATTAGATACCTAAATATTTGGAAGTCTGTCTTACCTGCCAGACTTGGGAAAACAAGACCCAAAGATAAAGTCCCATGAGTGTCGAATCTGGGAACTTCCTACGATGATGTCTGCATTACTGTGGTGGAATAATAATCACCACCCCGCTCAGGACACCCATGTCCGATGGCTGGACCTGTGAACATGTTACCTTGCATGGCAGAAGGGACTTTTGTGATTAAGTTAAGGATCTTGAGATGGGGAGAGCATCCTGGGTTATCCTGGGGCGTCCACTCCAGTCACAAGGGTCTTCACGAAACGGAAGGGAGGGGCTGAAGAAGGAGTCAGCGACGGCCGTGTAATGACAGGAGCAAAGGTCAGAGTGACGAATGCCAGCGGGGGCCTGAGCCTAGGAAAGTAGCTGGACGAGGCAAGGACTGGATCCCCCCACAACCCACCCCTTCCCGAGCCTCCGGAAGGAACGCAGTCCTGCCGACACACTGGTTTTAGTCCGTAAGACCCATCTGGGCTTCTAACCTCCAGAACTTTAAAATAACAGATTTGCGTTGTCCTAAGTCACTAAGTCCGTGGTAATTTGTTACAGCAGTAACAGGAAACTAATACAGTGATTAACTCCATAGAAACATTATGAACATAAGATTCTTTATTCAGATTAAGCCCCCAAGAATGTCATTTACCATCTTTAGTCTTTAATCTTGGGATAGTTTGATTTGTTTTCTTTGGGGCAGGTTTTGTTTTACATTTTTTTTACGTATTCTCAAATGCATGGCAAGGGACTAGGGCTTAAGGGAGAAGTACAAAGCTAACTCCAATAGATGAATGATTATTCCTCCACAAAGGAATTTTCATAAGCACAGAAAATAAATCTCTCACCCAAGCAAAGTAAGAGCTTACAAAATATTCAAGACCATTTGTGTGAATTTAGATTTTTTTTTCCCCTTAGAAAATTAGGCCATGAAGATTTTTAACAGAGTAGAAATGTCTGCCTCATTTGACGTTTCTGATGACGTTTTTGTGATAACTGGGTGGGAACCCTATGTGCTGGTAGAAAAAGACTCATGCTGGCACAGGTAATAGACCAGAGAGACAGAGGCGACAGAAGACACAGATTTAACTTGAAAACCTTACAGCACTTTGAATCCCACTCAGTGTCTTGTTTGTGTGTGGTACAGCTTCAAGCAAGGGAGGTCAAGCCTTAGGTGATCGATGGCCCTGTGTTTCTGGGACTGAGAAGTTTCCTGGGATGTGGAACTTTCAGTGCTAAAGCTGGATAAGTCCCTGGCCAGCAGGACGAGTTGGTTGCTTGGAGGGATTAAGTCGACTGGCTTCAGGCTGGTTATGAAAGCATGATTCTGGGTTCTGAGCTAGGACCCCAGAGGCCATCAGGACCACTCCCCCCCCCTCTTCGTCCACCCCAAGCTTCACTCTCTGGAACTGTACCGACTAAACTTGTTACAGATCTGTTAAAAAAGGGGGGGGAGGGGTTGCTGCCCTGGTTGATGTGGCTCGGTTGGGCGTCATACCATGCACCAAAAGGTTGCTGGTTCGATTCCTGGTCAGGGCACATGCCCAGGTTTCAGACTCAATCCCTGGTGGGGGGGCCTGCAGGAGGTGGCCAGTCAATGTTCTGCTCTCACATCGAAGTTTCTCTCTCGCTCTCCTGCTCCCCTCCTCTATCTCTAAAAAAAATCAATTAAAAAATATTTTTAAAAAGAGGGGTTGCTGCCCTGGTCAGTTTGGCTCAGCGGTTAGAGCGTCAGCCCGCAGACCAGGGAGTCCTGGGTTCGGTTCCCGCTAAGGGCACGTCGGTTGCAGTTTGTTCCTGGCTCCCGTTGGGGTCGTGTGGGTGGCAGCCAGTCAGTGTGTCTCTCTCATGTCGATGTTTCTCTCTCTCTCTTCCTCCCTTTCTCCCTCCTACTCTATCTGAAGATAAATGCAAAAATGTCCTTGGGTGAGGATAAAAAAAAAAAAGTTGCAGGAAGCAGGGAGGCTTTGTGTGTAGCCTCTTAACCACACTTCTGATCTTTTATCAGACAACTTCAAGCTTAGACGTTAGAATAAAAAGAAACAACAAAAAGCATCTGTGGGGAAGGTGAAGGAAAAGAGTAGGTGGATCTGTCATCCCACATTCTGACTGTCTGATGCCTCCATGGGTGACAGAAACTCACCAGGAATGAGGCACCAAAAAATAAAGGTATAAAGATTGAGAAGCCATCAGAATGGAAACCTGTAGCTGTTACTAGAATTCTAGGAGTAAGAATTTCAATCCTGAAGTAGTCATGTATAATCCACTTAAAAATGTTTTTTTCTTTATTGATTTTAGAGTGAGGAAGGGAGAGGGAGAGAGAAACATCAATGAGAGAGAACATTGATTGGCCGCCTCCTGCAGTCCCATAACCTGGGCATGTGCCCTGACTGGGAATCGAACCAGCGACCTCTTGGTGCATGGGTTGATGCTCAACCACTGAGCCACACTGGCTGGCTGTATAATCCGCTTTTTAAAATTATCTTGGAAAAGTAGCAAAAAGGAAAGTTCAGTCTGGCCTAATGAACTTGATTCCTGAGTTGAAAGCCAGATGAAATCCTGGATCACAAAAAGAAGGGTTTTGTTCATCTCATTTTAATACAGTAGAAAGCAGCTAGCTGGCTTTTAAAAAAGTATCAAAATGGTACATCGTAGAGTATGTATAAAAAAGCCTGACATCCTTCATCAGTCACAGTGTTGAAGACTGGTCTCTGTTTGCAGTGGTGGTTTAGAAGTAGTCCATTCTAGTGCCAAAACCATGAGAAGGACAGCCTGCAGGGGGTCCTAGGCCCTGCGACTGTCCATTTTCATAGTCTTAGAGGCTGATGTGTAGAAATGGTGAAGGTTTGGTGTGGGTTGCTTTTTCAGTAGCATCCAGACTACACTCACTTTAATTGGCTGCAAAGTGCAGGATGTTAAAAGCATAAAAGAAGCCTTTTCCTGTTTTTAAACAGCAGCAGTTACTTCCAGTCATAGAAATGGGATGCAACTGGAATGTATTGGGTAGCTTGGCAGTTGGCGTTGATAGATTCCAGGGCTGGGCTGGTGAGTCACCTGTTTGGTCTGTAGCCCTCCTGGAACTGCCGACTAGGAACGTAGGCCCCTGCAGGGCTTCAGGGGTGGTCCAGGCTCCCTAAGACCTTTAGGGCCAGGGAAGGTATAGGCTGAGTCTGTGTCCCCAGGAATTAGGCTTGCTCTCTTGTCCCAGTTATCTGTTGCGATGTAACAAAGAACACCAAACATAGTGGCTTAAAACAGTTTTGTTCTGTGGGTTCACTGGACAGCTCTCACTTGGGGTGTCGCATGCAGTTGCAGACATGTATTAGCAGGCTCTGGAAACATCTGAAGATTTCTCTCCCATGTCTAGTGACTGAGCTTGTATGACTTGAAAGCTGGGAATGGTCAGGCATCTCTCCTCCACATGGCTGCTTGGGCTTCCTCACAGCATGGCCCTCTCAGGCTAGTCAAGCTTTTACCTGGAGGCTGGCTTCCTTCACAGCAAGAGTGTGGAGGGACAGGGAGTGGAAGTTGCCAGTATCTTAAGTCCAAGACCCTGAAGCTGGCACAGCCTCACTTCCACTATTGGATAAGCAATCAGAGCTGCCCAGACGCAAGGGGAGGAGACACAACCCTCAGGTCCTGAGGGACACGGGCCAAAGAATTTGTGGCCACGTTGAATCCTCCACGTTCTCCAACCAGGACCCAAGACCCAAAGGGTTTGTTCAGAGTTGGACGTTATCCTCGTCTGACCTCATAATGAGCTGCTTTGTGTTCATGTAACTGCATTAACAAGAAAGTTTGGGTACACCGTCTCAATTTTTCCTCCCAATAGCTCTGAGATAGTAGGTTGGATAAAGTAAGGCGACTGAGGTACAGAGGTTAAAGGCCTAAGTTCACACCACTTCACAGGGACAGAATCGAGACAGACATCTGAATCTGTGACTCGGTCCACGCTGAGGGATCCTGGCGGAGGGATTCTGGCTTGTTCGCGTGTGTCCAGGCCTCTCTGCTCGTCACATACAGAGCTAATCTGGCCACACATCTTCGCAGCCGAAAGCAGTCCAAGGTGCAGGCAGAGGTAATGTTACTATGACTGTTCAGCGTGGTCCCATCAGTAAGGACTCTTGAAGCCACTGTACTGGCCTTCGCTCTTGGGAAACTCCTTCCGGATCCTCCAGCGGCAGCAGCTGGGCAGGATGGCGAAGTCGGCCAGGTCCTGGGAGCCAAAGCGCCAGGCCGCGTAGCACCTGTAGGCACAGTGGCGCAGCTGGCTGTTGGCGGAGCCCGCATCCAGCACCAGCAAGGGCTCCTGGTAGAGCAGGAGGAACCGCAGGACGTGTCTGGACAGCACGAGCTGCCTGAATGGCTCTGAAGTAGTGATGCAGGCCCCCGGCTTCCTCCGACAGCAGAGCTCCTCCAGGCACCCGCAGCCCTCGGGGAGCTGGGACGGGACGCAGTTCCCGCACTGGCACCAGCTCGGACGGCCGCCCGAAGGAGGCGTCACCGCCTCGCTGAGCAGCTGGATCTGCTCCGGTTGTCCCGGAACGCGGGCTGGGTCTTGGAGGGCCAGGGGCAGCCGGGACAGGTCTCTGCGGTCCAGCGGGGGTCTCTGAAAAAGCGAAGTTTCCAAACCCGTCAGCAATGGCAACCCTTAGAGTTCTAGGTTCTTTTCTTTTATTACTAAGTTCTAAACTTACATTTACTGTTACATCACTACTAATAGCTACCGTGTGTTAAATGTATGTATCAGGGCGGTGACAGTCTTTTACAAGCATTGTGTCATTTAAGCTTTTTTTTTTATCCCCACCCGAGGACATTTTTCCATTTTTTGTTCAGATAGAGTGGGAGGGAGAGAGAGAGAGAGAAACATTGACATGAAAGAGACACATCGAGTGGCCGCCACCCACACGACCAACCAGGGCCGGGGACAAACTGCAACAGAGGTACGTGCCCTTAGCGGGAACCAAACCCGGGTCTCTCAGGACCGCAGGCTGACGCTCTGACTGCTGAGCCAAACCGGCCAGGGCCATTTAAGCTTTTGAAGCATCGCATGAGATATGTGTCCATACCTCCATTGTTTAGAAAGAGAAATTCAGAATATCCAGGCCTCGGTGCAGATGTCACCTTTTCAGAGACCTTGCTCGGACCACCCAGTCTGGGTAGTCCCCCTCTCCCACTTCATTCTCTTATCGCATCGTGAGATGCTACGTTCTTCGCATTACTGACTGCCATCCGAAAGGATCTTTTCATCTGATATGTTTACCTGATGATTCTTCTGCATGAGAGCAGGGACCCTGTCTGTTTTGTTTGTCATGTCCCCGATGCCGAGGGCAGTACCCAGCACAGCAGTCAGTCAATACTTGTTGACTTGGGCTCTGCTGGCAAATCCGTCTGCTGTGTTCTGAGAGGAGTTGCCATCATTTATAAATGTCTACTCTTTGTGACATATACCCTTATTCACCAGACAAAGAAAGTCTGAGTCAAGTACCTTAAACGGGAATCGTTCTTGTACATGAACGTTCCCAGGAGCATGGTTTTAGACTTTGAGCCTCCTGGTCTGCGAGACAGTCCATTTCTGTTGTTCTAAGCTCCTCAGTTTGCGGTAACTGATGATGGCAGCCGTTGGAAACTAATACGTTCGAGAAGATGCCCAACAACCAGAACTGCCCGGGACGGTGTGAGCTAGAACACCCGCTGAGAGGAGTGTTTGGTGGTAACTACTAAAGCTGGACACATGCCTGCCTGTGACTTGGTGGTTTCACTTTTACGTTTACCATGTGTTTATCATAGCAGCACTGCCATAATCACTGAAAAGAAGCTATTCAAATGTCCATCAGCCACGGAAGGAGAAACTGGATGTTCATAAGACAGAACTTATACAACAATGAGAATGAACTGTTGCCATATGCAACGTCATGGATGACTGTCACAAAGATGATGTCGAGTCAAAGAAGCCAGACACTCAACAGAGTATAAACTGAATAAACTTGAAACAAAACATTTTTTTTAAATTCTATAAGAGGTAAAACTAACCTTTGTATAGAAGATGACTTTTAAGGAAAGGTAGTGATTGGATAGAGACATCAAAGGGATTTCTGCTAGTGATACTTTTTTTAACTGCGTGCTGGTTACCCGTGTTTACTTTGTTAAAATGCATCAAGTATGATTTGTACAAATTTCTAGATGTTTATATTTAATAGTAATTAAAAAAATTTTTTTCTTTATTGATTTTAGAGAGAGAGGAAGGGAGAGGGAGAGAGAGATAGAAACATCGATGAGAGAGAACATTGATTGGCTGCCTCCTGCATGACCCCCACTGGGAATTTGACCCCCAATCTGGGCATGTGCCCTGACTGGAATCAAACCAGCAACTTCCTGGTGCATGGGTCGATGCTCAACCACTAAGCCACACCAGTTGGACGTAAGTTTTCTTTAAAAAAAAAAAAAAAGACTAAATGTTTTAACTTACTGGGACTTCTTTGCCTTTGACATCTTGTAGACTTCTCCCAAGTAGCTGCTCATCCACCATCCTTATGTGAAATTCATCCACAAAGGACACATATTTTAAGGTCTAGGGAAAGAAATAATTTACTTATTTTTTTGTATAGAATTATTAAGAATTGCATACCTGAACATATCTAAAGGCAAATATTATTCCCATTTACCAAATGGAAAACTTGTTTAAGTTCATCAAAAAGCCTTGCTAACCAAGAATGAATGACTCCTGAGTCTAAAGGTAAATCAGAAGTAGAACTCCATGCACCTTAATTTGTGGATTCAGAATATCCACAAGTTACTGCCTGATGTTTATGGGCTCCCAAGCGCTATGTAACCTTTCTGTGTTGTGTTCCCTCAATTTTTTTTTTTTTATCCTCACCCAAGGACATTTTTGCATTTATCTTCAGATAGAGCAGGAGGGAGAGAGGGAGTAAGAGAGAGAGAGAAACATCAACGTGAGAGAGACACATCGAGTGATCGCCACCCATACGACCCCAACCAGGGCCGGGGACAAACTGCAACCGAGGTACGTGCCCTTAGCGGGAATGGAACCCGGGTATCTCCGGTCCGCAGGCCGATGCTCTAACCGCTTAGCCAAACTGGCCAGGGCTGTGTTCCCTCGATTTAAATTATTCTAGATTATCTCCAGAAAATTATACTATTGCTACTTAAATTATTTATATTTTCATTAAATTTTATCCCATCTTGGGCCATGAAATAGTGATCATTTTTAGTCGCAAAGATGAACTTTTATTTCAGATTGCATACACGTGGGCAATGGACAGTGACTTGTATATTCAGTGACTGGAAAAGGACTGTCATGTCCTCAGATGAGGGGAAGACAGAAACCCTCCTTGTTGTTTTAAGTACCAGAGATTTCTCGTTGATTGGGGGAAATCAGGGAGTCAGGTATAGAGGACCAAAGTCGTAAAGTCCAAATTAAACAATCAAAACAATACGGATGAACTAAAGTCCCCTTTGACTAGTCCCTCGCCCCAGGCCTCTTTCCAGAACAAATCGTTATCATTTTTTGTGTGTCCAGTGCCTTTTAGTGTATATGTGTGTATATAATACACACAGAATTATATAGAATATATTCAAAATATATGTATGTGTGTTTATATATGTACATGTGTAAAATACATAGAATTAGTTTATGTGTGTAGTTCTTCTTTAACCTATATCATACCATATATATTGTTATGTAGGTTGCTTTTTTCCTCTCAACAACGTCTTAGATTTTGCCAGTACCTGTAGCTCAGTGGTTATGAGCACGGTTCCGAACCAGCCTGCCTAAGGAGGGATTTCAGCCCTGCGGCTCACTAGCTGTGTGAATGATGCAACCCTCCTGGGCCTCGGTGTCCTCATCTCCAGAAAGGGATAACAGCATCACCTCTCCGTAGGTTGTCGCGAAGACTCAGTGAGTTAATACGCAAAGGGCCCTTCGACGTGCGGTGTGAACGCTCGCTATTATTTCCGTCTACCTCATTCCTCTAACCTGGTGCCCGGGTCCCCGCCGTGCACGGCTCCTCGCGCAGCGCACCGGTGGACACCGCGTGTGCACACCGGCGGGCGCCCCGGGCCTTACCGGCTTCGGCTCCACGACCGACTCGCACTTTTTCCGGTAGTAGAACTCGTTCACCGAGCAGCCCGCGCAGCACTTGCAGTAGCGGTAGACGTGGGACCGGCAGCACGAGCTCGAGTACGTGCTGATGAGAAAGTCGATGAACACGGTGGCCTGGGAAGAACCCAGACGAGCGCACGTCAGCGAGACCTCTTTTGGCCCAGAGCGCCCCGTGACCGCGGGCAGGAGCAGGCCTTACCAAGCCGAAGTAGGAGAGGGTCGAGCCGATGTACACGATCAGCGGGATAATGTCGAATTTTCCGCCCTGGAAACAGCGAGCGGGCAAGGTCAGCGGGCCGAAGCGCAGAGGCCCACTGCCCTGCCCTGCCCCGCCCCTGTTCGCCCAGCAGAGGGGTGTCTGCTGCCCTGACTTTGATGGATGCACCCAACGAGTGCGTTCACGGCAACAGAGACTGGAGACCGTAGGAACCGCCTTCGCCCTGCTTCTGCCCCCCAAGCTGTGCTCGGAAACAGGACTGTTTTAAACAAAGAAGCGCCGGAACCCCCAAAGGAGAACCACGGGAGGCTGTTTCTCATCCAAGGTGGGGGTTTCAGACAGGCGGTCCCCGAAAGTGGCTTGAGATGACTTTAGCAGCAAAGGGAAGGGATGTCCCCACAAACTCATCCCTTAGGTGTCCTTGTGGTTTTTATTTTCAGTGGTCTTTCTACCCTCGCAACTGTATCTCACTGATTCCTGAGCTGCCGGGCAGCACGTTGCATACACGAGACGCTGTCGGGCAGCGTTGTGGGCATCTGGTGATTGTTTTGCATGCCCAGCATCCCCTCCTTCCTTCTCCTGGAGACAGCACCCCTGTTTTCCTTTGGAGAACTGTCTCTGTCCACACTCGGCGTGCAGGAGAGACGATTCCATGACGTGCTTGCTGTCTGCCCTGTGAGCTGGACCCTGGCTAAAGCAGAGACTGCTTGCCACAGACCCCCTTAGAGACGGAGCACGATCAGTGTTCATTCTGACTGAAATCAGCAGCCCTCCTGCCTCCTGCTACTACTGCTTCCTGGAACAGGCTGCCCTCCTGCCCTCCTCATCAAGCGTGCAAAGTAACTTTCTGTACCTGTGACCATCCCCTTTTTGCCCTATATAATTCCTGGGGCTCATTTCATCCTGCAGCTGCCAAAGAGGCGCCTTGGATGTACGTTTCCCCGATAAGCTCTATTATCAGGCTGGAGCGGCCTGCCTCCTCCTTGAGTCTTTCCCTGACCTCCACTTGCAGAGGGAGGTTTCAGTGCCAGGGCCTTTCCCTGGGTCTGTGTGTACTAACACTCGGTCCACGTAGCTCTGGGGAAAGGTGCCGGTTCAGAGCGGATCCAAGACCAGTACTGAGAGTATGGCCTGACCCTGGTTACAGTGATCAGTTGAGGTTGCTGAACTGGTAAGTTATAAGGAGCTGCCACACAAAGGTGGACAGCAGAGGGCGATGCCAAAACAGGGCACAGACGGAAGAGACGGAGAGAGGCAGATTCTTGGTGACGTTCGAGCATCTGGATCCAGCCATGCTCGAAGCCTGAAACGGCCCCTGGATCTTTCGGTTACGTGAACTAAAACAAAACATTTTTAAAGAAGACTTTTTTCCCTAAGCCAATTTGAGTTAGATTCTGTTCACTTACTAACTACTGTATTTTTCGGGGAGATTTCTTTCTTTCTCTTTTTATTAAGCATCAGAAAAAAACTTTTTAAATATATGTTTTTATAGATTTTTTTAGAGACAGAGGAAGGGAGAGAGAAACATTGATGCGAGAAACACAGATCAGCTGCCTCCTGCACGCCCCCTACTGGGGATTGAGACCACAACCCAGGTATGTGCCCTGACCCAGAATTGAACCAGGACCTCACAGTCCATGGGGTGATGCTCAATCCACTGAGCCACACTGGCCGGGCAGCATCAGAAAACTTTTAAAGTTGAATATTACATATTTTTTCTCCCTATCTCCCTCTTGTACTCATCAGATGACTGTTCGTGGACAGGACCCCAAGGACATTTCTTCCCCTCTCTTATCCCACCTGTAAGATGCCCAGGGCCAGCTGATGACTGTCACCAAAGCATTCACCCCTGGGGGCGCTACAGTGAACATTGGGACATGGTCATAGGAGTGCAGGTTCCAGTGGCTGGGAGCAGAGACTTACGGTGCCAAAAACCAGGATGTCAAAACGGATCCCAAAGACTTTTATCAAAGTCCGTTTCTCAACATTGTTTTCCTTATAGTACTTGGCGTATCTGTAGGAGGGAAAGGATCCATGTTTACAAAGATCTATCTGACAGTGCTAGTATTTTATGAAAAGAAAAAAATCAAAACAACAGCTGATCCAGTCTTCCCTTTTCATCTTCTGTGGTCGGCAGGGGACATAACCCAGACCCACGAATCACTCTGTCTCTGGCCACCCAAACCAAAGCGCCACTCCCCACGTCACCTCCTCCACTCCCACCATCACAGAGTGGTGAAAAGTCCGCTTTTTGTTTAAGATGCAAAGGAACAACTTTTAACCAACAACACAGGATTAGCGAAAAGCAGAGAGATTTAAAACACACACACACACACACGAGAAACCTTCAAGCAATCTGTTCTTTTTTAAGAGGGAAAAATAGGTTTTCTAGAATAAAGTGTTGGGGGTGCATCTTAGATACTAATCACTGGACTGGGGACAAGTACCTCAATAATCTGTTCCAACTCTGCTTTCTTATATTCTCTACGTGTCTGGTTGGCAGCCATCATCACAGGGCCAAACCACAAGTAAAGTTACTCACATGTCCCCTGAAGTCCAGCTCTGGCGAGTGCATGTCAATCATGTTACAAACTCTCCATCCAATCCCAACCATCTCCATCCATGTCCCCAGCCATCTTTTTGACCTCATTCGGACAATATTTTCACTGCCTGAAATCACCCAGGGCCAAGTAGCAAACAACCAGCGACCACCCCTCTAGCCCAGAGCCCACCTACATTACTCAGATCAGTCAGTTCTAAACTGTTCCCCCTGCCCTGCCCTGCCCTGCCCTGCCTTGCCCTGCCTTTCCCAGGGCAAACACAAGAAAGGCTCCGGGCCATGCTCTCCCCTTGCTCCTACCTCCTGGCCAAGCCTAGTGCTCCCCCTGGTGGCCGTGTGTGGCATAGCATGCATCCTTTTCGGAAATGGAATAAGTCTTTCAATGACATCCACCTCACTGTGTCATCACTCAGTCATCTTGTAAATTAAGACCCACGTGCAAATCACAATCACCTCAAATATGCATCTCTCACAGTGCTATAGTCAGGAAAAGTGGTGCGTTGTATTTTTCATGAACAATTAGGTAGGCTTAAACCATAGACCTCAAGAAACTTTTAAATCTGCCCCTCCCTTGGTCCACCTTTCAGTGGCTGTTTTTAGGTAGCAGTATTTATTTTCTTTCTGAGTTATTAATTCACAATCTATTTACAGGTGTGGGGATAAAAGAAAACTTAGAAGACAGGTGCTCTGCTGGAACACAGTATAGAACATCTGAAACTTTTTTTTTTAACTCTCAAAACCCGACGTTGAGATTGGTTAGATATTTTCAGGCGATTTAATGTGTTTCCGGCCAGAGGGGTTTCAACATCTTTGCATCTGATTGTTCTCATTCTATAATGGTTCTTTCTTCTGCTGCTCTGTTGAGTGACTGTGGTTTTTTTGTTTTTTGTTTTTTTGGCTTGCTTCTAAAAAATTTTTTTTCTTTATTGACTTTAGAGAGGAAAGGAGAAGGAGAGAGAGAGAGAGAGAGAGAGAGAGAAACATGGTTGAGAGAGAACATCGATTGGCAGCCTCCTGCATGCCCCCCACTGGGGATGGGGCCCACAACCTGGGCATGTGCCCTGACCGGAAATCGAACCAGCGACCTCTTGGTGCAGGGTCGACGCTCAATCACTGAGCCTCAGCGGCCAGGCGAGTGACTAGGTTTTAACTCACAGAGCAGGCATGCATTCCCAGTCCATGCCCGCGGTTGCACCCTCTATGCAAGTTGGTTTGACTGGGAAGGTTGACATTGTACAGTATAAATACTGGAATTTCTGCTTTCAAGGTCTTGATAGAATGATTCCCAAACTGAGGGCAAGAATCACTTGGGAGCCCTGGCTGGTGTGGTTCAGTGATTAGAGCATTGGCCCTCACACCAAAGATCACAGGTTTGATTCCTGGTCAAGGGCATGTACCTGGGTTGCAGGTTAAATCCCTGGCGCTGGTCAGGGCGTGTGGAGGAGGCAACCAACCGATGTATCTCTTTTGCGTTGATGTTTCTGTCTCTCTCCTCCCTCTCTTACTCCCACTCTCTCAAAATCAATGGAAAAAATATCTTCGGGTGAGGATTAACAACAACAAAAAAGAATCACTTGGGAAGTGTGTTCAAAGGCAGATTCCTGGGCCTCATGCCCGAAGGGTGGTTTCAGAAGGTCTCAGATGTTTCTAGGAATCTCTCTTTCTTGGAGAGGTACCAGGTGGTTCTGGTGCAGGTGCTCAGTGGGCCACACTGAGAAATAGTAGGCCCTACACAAGGATGTTTTTTGCATACTTTAATGGGTTGAACAGTCTCCCCTCAAAAGATATATCCAAGCACCTAACCCCTGCACCTATGAATGTGACTTAATTGGAAATAGAGCTGCAGATGAAATTAAGAATCTCAAGACGAGATCGGCCTGGATTCAGGGCGGCCCTAAATCCAGTGACTGGGGTCCCTACAAGAGAAAGGCGAGGGCGACCTGAAACAGAAACACAGAGGAGAAGGCCGCGGGAAGACAGAGGCAGAGACCAGGGAAGCAGCCATAAGCGGAGGACTGCCTGGAGCCACCGGAAGCTGGAAGGGGCAAGGAAGGACCCTCCCTGGAGACTCCGGAGTATGTCCCTGCTGACACCTTGATTTTGGGCTTCTGGCCTCCAGAGCGACAAGAAGATACATTTCTGTTGTGTAAGCCGCCACGCCGGTGGTGATTTGTTAGGCAGGCACAGGAAACGAAACCACGCCCCCTGAAGCAGGGGAGTGCGACAGGCCCGCGTGGGTCCGCCCCATCTGCACACCTCTGGGTGTCCTGAGTCACATGTCCGCCCACTGAGGACTTTTGCCATGAACATCTTTTAGTAAAAGACAAACATTCTGTAATGTGATTGACTTCTTCAAATTCCTATGTTTTAGAAAATTATCTTTATTTATTTATTTTATCCACACCTGAGGACGTTTTTCCATTTTTTGTTCAGAGAGAGTGGGAGGGGGAGACAATAAGAGAGAGAGAGAGAGAGAGAGAAACATCGATGTGAAAGGGACACATCGAGTGGCTGCCACCCTCACAACCCAACCAGGGCCGGGGACAAACTGCAACCAAGGTACGTGCCCTTAGCGGGAACCGAACCCGGGTCTCTCCGGACCACAGGCCAATGCTCCAACTGCTGAGCCAAACTGGCCAGGGCAGAAAGTTATCTTTTTTTTTTTAACTACCTCAGATAACCTGTAATTGCCTTCTGTTTTGTGTGGCTGTTTGAAAATAACTTATCCCTCACCCATCAGATCCGGACAATTTATTTCTGGCTCGAGATTTCTCCTGGTGCTCATTCCAGACAACACATGCTCTACTGCTTTGTTCTAAAGGAACGTTGACGTCATCACAACCTCAGTTCTTCAGGAAGCTCAGATCCCTCCAGGAGCTGATGTTCAGAGACGTGATGTTCGCTAACACCTGGTCACTGCCCTGCAGGCTTCTGCTGTTGCTAAGAAAACAGCCCGCGGGGGCAGTCGGGCGACCACTGATCCCACCCTCTCTTCTTGCCGCTGGCCATCAGCCTATTCAGTAGAGCAGCAGGGGGTGATCAAAGCGCCACCTAAACCTGGAGCTAGTTCCGGAGCCCTGGATGAAACCCCGCTGTCCCAGAGGAGACAAAGCCTCTTGTATTTTGATCTCACCCAGTCTTTAGTCAAGGGTTTCAAGCTCAGATGCCTACAGAGGCCCAGCAGATAAGAGAAATGAGTCACGCAGGCAGGTGTAAGGCAGTAAGGAGTGGTGGGGACAGGGGCAAACCCCAAAGCACGCCCTTTCTAAAGGGGACCCCTCAGAGTTCTCGCTGAGCGCTGCTGTGTGGGCTGTGAACCCAGCGTTATCAAATGGTTTCATTTCTTTTGTCCAAGTAGTTTAATTTTTTTTTTCAAGAAAAGCAGGAAGTCTAGATTTTTATGTAGAATGTCTCAACTTTCAAAACATTATGTAGGCCAAAATAAAAAAATAAATAAACACAAACACAGGCTGCTTGCCAGTGTTTGATGTTGCTTTAACGTCTGAGCAGAAAGTATTTTGGGGTGCTAGGTGACAACAGTCTAGACCAGCACTTCTCAGACTGTAATGTGCTCATAAATCTGGGAATCTCGTTAAAAATGCAGATTTTGGTTCAGTAAATCAAGAGTGGGGCCCGAGAATTCTGCCGTATAACGAGCTCCCCGGTGAAGCCCATGCTGCTGGCTCCAGGACCCCACTGAGCAAGGAGGTTCTAGATCAGTTCCCAGGCGTGGGTGTGTGTCAGGATCACTTGTGGGCTTGTGAAGACCATCCCGGCGTGTCTGACTCGGTAGGTCCGGGGTAGAGCCTGTGGAATTGCGTTTCTACCTGTTCCCGTGCGATGCTGATGCTGAAAACCCCACTTTGAGAACCACTGGTCTAGACCATCGGTGCTAAAGATATTCAGAGACGGTAACATTTTTTGCAAGTCGATGCCCCTCACATAGGCTTCTGTCTGTGGACTTTTTCTTCTTCTCAACAAAGGAAGCACAGCCCTCAGGAAAGCCCAGGATGCCTGCAGGGACCCTACCCTGAGCTTGCAGAGGCCTCCCCTGGTCACATCTCCGGCCACCCTTACTGAGGGTGCTACCAAACCCAGCCCTACTGAGTCCTGAGGATGCTGCGATTCAATCGGGCCGGGCAGGGCCCTGGGGTCCAGGGCGGCCAGTCTGACCTCAAGCGCCGTTACCTGAAGTTGTAGCCGGGGTACAAGGACTCATTGGTTGTCTTGTCGTCAAGGCGACGGAAGCTGTATTTTGGACGGCAGCGATGGAACCAGCGGTCCAGGTTGCAGTCCCAGTAGATCTCGATGCCCATGATCCCTCCCTGAGGAAGACAGAAGAGGCGATGACTCTAAGCCCCGCTGCACACGGATGCAGCCGCCAGCACCCCCTGTGTGGTGATGGTCACCAAAGGAGAGCTTTCCTCTTCGGAGGAAAAAATGCTGCTTATCAGAGCCACAAGCGAGCCCTGTCTCCCCCGCATAATTAATACCCAGGCAGCTGGCAACAGCTCCTCACGCCTCCTTCCGTCTGGGACACACCACTGTTAGATTCACTTTTCTAAACTAGAACCTCCAAGAACCACGCCCATCATCAAACACCTGTCAGGGCTCCCCTATTCATGATTAGGTTGAGCCCTGGCTGGTTTGGTTCAGTGGTTAGACATCCACCCGTGGGTTCGATTCCGGTCAAGGGCACGCACCTTGGCTGTGGTTTGTCCTTGGCCCTAGTCGGAGTCGTTCAAGAGGCAACCAGTGGATATGTCCCTCTCACGTCGATGTTTCTCTCTCTTCCCCCCTCCCACTCTATCTGAAGATAAATAGAAAAATATCCTCGAGTGAAGATTAAAAAATAAAAAGATTACATTGAGCCCAGCTGGTGTAGCTCAGTGGTTGAGCATCCATTCACCCATGCACCAAGGGGTCACCAGTTCGATTCCCAGTCAGGGCACGTGCCCAGGTTGTGGGCCGATCCCCAGTGCGGGGCATGCAGGAGGTGGCCAATTGATGTTCTCTTTCATCTATTGTTTCTATCTCTCTCTCCCTCTCCCTTCCTCTCTCTAACATCAATAAAAAAAAAAAGATGAAGTTGAAACTTGTTAGGCTGAAACTCAGGGTGCTCTATCACGTGTTTTCTGCTTCCTCGATATTCTAGAGAAAGCTTATTCCAAACTGTCTGCACTTGTTCCTAAGCGCACTTTGCACTTGCATGTGTTTCTTCCAGACAGCTTTCCTGAGCTGTAGCTCGCAGGAGGTCACCCACTCAGCGTGCACGCTCGAGCAGGTGTTATATCCACCCAGAGGTGCAGCTGGCACCAGTTTACTGCTCTTCCATAGCCTCCAAAAGAAGCCCCAGAAACTCCAGTCACCCCTCTATCCCCTCTCCCACCCCTAAGCAACCATTTTCTGATTCTAGCGAGGTCTTTACTCTGAACTTTCTGAATGATATCAGCTAATATGTGGTCTTTGGTGTCTGGCTTCTTTTCCTTAGCATAATAAAAGTCCATCCACGTTGTAGCATGTGTGCTTTTTGTGGTGAAAGAATATTCCATTGAATGGGTATACTACATTTTGTTTATTCATTCATCCTTTCTTTCTTAATTTTTTTTTTTATCCTCACCCGAGGACTTTTTTGCATTTATCTTCAGGTAGAGCCGGGAGGGAGAGAGGGGGGAAGAGAGAGAGAGACATCAAGTGGCTGCCACCCACAGGACCCCAACCGGGGCCGGGGACAAACCGTAACCAGGGCAAGCGCTCTTAGCGGGAACCGAAACCCAGCTCTCTCTGGACCGCAGGCCGACGCGCTAACCACTGAGCCAAACCAGCCAGGGCTACTTTGAACTTTTGAATCTTGGCCCTTACCCTCTCTCCCAGGGAAATGTTTCTCCCACCCACTGCTCTGGCAAAATCCCCCTCATCTTCCAAGACGCAGCTCATATCCTTCAGCCAGCCAGCCTCCTCAGTTCAAGGGGACCTTTTTCTCCTCTAAACGCCTAAGAAATCTTGTGATCTCTTACCTGTACTTGTACTTCTTTCTTTCTACAAACATATTTTGAGCACTATCATATTCACGTAATCTTATTTCATTGAATCTTAAACACCACTGCTTGTAAGACGTAATTGTCTTATGTTCCTCTAAGAAGAAAATGCTGTCAATGTGAGACTCCATCCCCGGAAAGATCTTCCTGATTCCAGAATGATTACAATGTGAAAAAGGGTCTCTGACTCATGAAATACGGCATTTCAAGCCAGCACGCTAGAAGCTCGGGGTACAGAGATGTGGAGTCAGCAGCCTCTGACTTGGAGAAAGGAGAAATAGTACAGAATAGTCACAATTGTCATTTCTTGTCAGGCGCTTAGCCATGCATGCTACATATACTGACTGTCTAATGTTTTTGTCACTCATCATGCAAAGAGCCAAGAAATGCGGTGACTGTAGTTCTAGAGGGCGGGAAAGGCAAGCCAACGGATTTGCCCCTGGAGCCTTCGCTGGGTGCCTGGCCCTGCTGGTAACTTGAATTTGGCCCAGTAGAACTGACTATGGACTTCCGATCTCCACAGTGTGAAAAAACACTGTGTGTTGCCCTGGCCGGGTAGCTCAGTTGGTTAGAGCATTGTCCCAACACACCAGGGTCGCGGGTTTGATTCCCAGTCAGGGCACATACAAGACAAGCAATGAAACTGATACTCTCCACCCCCTTCCTCTCTCTCTTTAAAAAAAATATAAATAAATAAATGTGTTGTTTTAAGCACCAAATTTGTGGTAATTTGTCACAGCAGCCTCAGGAAACTACTGTGCCAAGTGTCTCACTCACAGGGTTGTCGTGGGAGCAGATGAGGTGATGCGGCGGAAGTCGGTGTATCGTGGACGGACCTCCTGGGTGCTCACCAAGGGAACCATATCAAGACCCGGTGGCTCAGCCTCTTGGGCGCTTGACGTCTCCCCTCCCCCGACACAAACCACCCCACACCTCCTGGGACAAAGCCATTACCAACCTGAATCGCCACTTCTGAAAAGTTATCTCCTGTTTCTCGGAAGATATCTCCCAGTCGGAAAATAGGACACTGGGGGTTGTGAGTCTTGTCAAAGGTGCAGGTGATGTTCAGATCGGGCAAGATGTTTCTCCTGCACACAACGAAAAGCAAACAAACATCTTTGTTGAAAACTGGAATCCGCCCGGCCGGTGTGGCTCAGAGGTTGAGTGACGACCCCTGCACCAAGAGGTCACCGGTTCGATTCCCGGTCAGAGCACATGCCCAGGTTGTGGGCTGATCCCCAGTGGGGGGCATGCAGGAGGCGGCCAATCGATGTTCTCTCTCATTGATGTTTCTATCTCTTTCTCTTCTTTCCTCTTTCTCTAAAATCAATAAAAAATTTTTTCTAAAAGAGTCTTTTAGAAAACTGAAACCCATCTCTTGCAGAGGAATGAGCCAGTGTGGTGACTGGGCTCTGTGAGGGCCCCCAGTGATCCCCGCCTCCTGATAGTCACACCCTGGGTAGGCCCCTCCCACTCGGTGGCAGGGTTGATTTGTGACCTTAGAATATGGCAGACATGACGGTGTGTCACTTCCAAGGTGAGGGTATAAAAGCCTTGCTCTCTGTCTCTCTTGGGTCATTTGCTCTGGGGGAAGCCAGCGCCTGTCCTGAGGACACTCAGGAGTCCTGGGGACAGGTCCGCGCGGTGAGAAACTGAGCCCTCCTGCCAGCAGCCACAGGCGTGAGCCGGAAGGGGGTTCTCAGCCCCACCGACAGCTCGCTGCGGCCTGCGAGGCCCCGAGCCAGAACCACCCCGCCCCGGCACCCCCCGACCCCTGGTCCTCAGAAACCGCGAGACAGTAAGTGTTTGCTGTCTTGAGCGTCTCACTTTTGGGGTGATTTGTTACACAGCAGTAGACAACAATACGGCCGGACGGTCTGGGCACTTACGTGGTGTAATTGTGGCCGGGAAAGTCGATGTTATTCTTGATGAGCACAGTGAAGTTTTCAGCACTGTTCAAGAGCGCAGGCCTGGGGGAGACATGCGAAATGGGGACCGGTGACCACAGGGACCAAGGGCGGCAGCCGGCCGGCGGGACCAGAGGCTTCGGCCTCTTGCTTGGGTCATTGTCATGAGTGCAGAAAAATGCAATGTGGTCAGCAAAACCGTCTGAAATCCTCCAGTAAGAACTTCTCCCTTCTTGTTGGGAGAAGAGACCCGTGGCAGGCCTCGCACTCTGATGTAATGGTGTGTTCAGGCATGTACAGCGATGCGCTGGGAACCAGCTCTCCAGGAAAAGCAAAAGCCCTCACATGTAGCACGACTGACTATTGTGGTATAAACACTACCACCGTGTCTGATTTCAGGCGACCAGCCGGTCATCAAGGAACTTGGAGTTGGGAAGGGATGAGCCTCGTTGGCTCAGAGGCGGTACAAGCCAGCTCCATCACACCCCACCTGGATCTGTCCCAATAGGCTTGGGTTTCCTGCAGGGCTGGAACAATAATTTTCTTATCTTGACCTTCCCAGCCTTCAGCACTGGGTCACACATGTGCTACCAGTCATTCTCCTTGAGGCTCTGTGTAGCATAAAATTCTGCACGAGTTAGAAGAGCCCAAATACTGGACTGCAGGAAGGTCTGTCCACCACCATCCATCTATTCATTCCACAGATAATTATTGTACTGGGCACGGGACTGGGCACTGGGGATGTAGTGATGAAAAAGACAGTTAAGGGTCTTGTCCTTATGCAGTTGACGATCTCTTAAAGATGGTGAGAACTGGCTGCAGATAAAAAGGTACAGCTGGCCCTGGCCGGTTTGGCTCAGTCGTTAGAGGGTTGGCCTGCGGTCCGGAGAGACCCGGGTTCAGTTCCCGCTGAGGGCATGTACCTCGGTTGCAGTTTGTCCCCGGCCCTGGTTGGTCATGCGGGTGGCAGTCCCTTTCACATCGATGTTTCCCTCTCTCTCTCTTCCTCTCTCTACCTCCCACTCTATCTGTACAAAAAATGGAAAAATGTCCTCAGGTGAGGATAAAAAAAAAAAAAATCTTATTTAGGACAAATGCCTGCTATGTGCCAGACCATCTGCCTTTAGAACATTCTAAATCCCATGTTTCTTAGGCAACACTCTAAGAATCAGAGGACTGTATGATCCTGAAACTTTAAGGATCAAAGCCCTTTCTATCTTGAATTACAGCTCTCTGCACACATATTCTGCTATTAGACTACAAGAGCCTTGGGACCTGCTCCACATCTGGGTCTCTTTGTATTTTACGTAAAATTTAGCACAGCCTCTGTGTATCGTTACACATGAAATAAATTTCTAACACCCACTACATGGTAATGGATGTGTTGAAGGAATGAATGATTACATGAATCATTTTAGTAATTCCTTCATATAACCTATGAGGAAACTGCTTGCCCAAGGTCATGTCACAATGCAGCGCAGACATCAGAACCTCGGAGAGGTGCAGTATTCATCTGACGAAGGAGTTGGTGGCAGAGCCAGGACCGAAAACCACAGACAACCAGGAGGCCCCTTGCCTTGAACCAGGGTCAGCTTGAGTGTAAGTTTATGTCCCTGAGCAATTTCTTCCTTGATAAAGAAACTTCCTTGACCTAGAAATGAACCTGGGTGGTGCCATTAACTGAGGGAGGGTCAGACAGGCTGACGCTGCCTCGTGCTTCCCACTGACCTTGGGAACCTTTGCCTGAACCTTCTAAGAAGTTAGTTTGGGGAAGTCTCTGCCGCCCAGATTCTGATGGCATGGCCCCGAGTCACATTTGTCTGCTGCTGTGCTATCCGGGGTAGTCCAACAACCCCTAGGCAAGGGCGACTGATTACAATTCAATTCAATTCAGTTCAGTTCAGTTCAGTTCAGTTCAATTCAATTCAGTAACTCAGTTGTAGTAGCTGCATTTCAAGGGCTGAATAGCCACGTGTAGCCAGTGGCTGCCATGTCGGACAGCACAGAAAGAGAATATTTCCATTGTTGTAGAAAATTCCATTGGACAGCCCTGGCTGGTTTGGCTCAGCCGTTAGAATGTCGGCCTCCGGTCTGGAGAGACCCAGGTTCGGTTCCCGCTAAGGGCATGTTGTGGTTTGTCCCCGGCCCTGGTTGGGTTGTGTGGGTGGCAACCACTCGATGTGTCCCTTTCACGTCGATGTTTCTCTCTCTGCCCCCCCCCCATCTGAACAAAATATCGAAAAATGTCCTCGGGTGAGGATAAAAAAAGAAAATTCCATTGGACAGTACTAGTCTAGAACCACCAGACTTCTAGGGGCAGATTGTGTGTGTGAGTGATTGAGCACTTTCTGTATGCCAGGCACTGGGCTCACTTTGCAGTCACTGTACATGCGTCACCTCATTTAATTCTCACAGCAGCCCGGTGAGGTAGGTGCCGTTATTATCCTCAGCTTACAGACGAGGACATGGAAGTTCAGAGAGGTTAAGCCACTTGCCTAAGGTTACACAGCAAAGAAGTGTTCAGAGTCAGGATTTGAATCCAGGTCTCTCTGTTCTCTGCTGAAATGCATCAGTCCCTGCAGTTTCTGAGGTTTGAATCAAGTTCTGCCTCTAGGCCTGACCTTGTGTGTTAAAGAGAAGAGTCACTCCAGGGACCACCAAATCTGTCACTGTGATCATTTAAGAAAATTTCCCTTCCCTTTCTCCCTTCCTTTTCTTTTCTTTTTTCTTTTCCCTTCCTTCCTTCCTGCCTGCCTGCCTGCCTGCCTTCCTCCCTCCCTTCCTTCCTTTCTTTCTTTCTTGGTACGTGCCCCTAGTGGGAACTGAACCCGGGTCTCTCTGGTCCGCAGGCCGACGCTCTAACCACTGAGCCAAACCTGCCAGGGCCTTCCTTCCATTTCTTTTCCTTCCTTTCCCCTTCCTTCCTTTTCTTCTTTCTTCCCTCCCTGTCACCTACCCATCCTTAGTCCTTCAGTATGGACACAGACAAGTCAGAATGGACCCTTCTGGAGGAGGGTTGGGCGGTGCCCTGGAACATGCTGGCACAGAAGGGGGGCAGGGGCGCCCCAGGGTGCTCAGAGTAGTAGCTAATTATCAGCCAGTACAGAATCATTTCGGTGTTGTAACCATCCTCCCAGAGACCACCTGGGTGCCTGGCATGGGGTCGCCGAGCCAGTAGCACCCAGGACTTGGACGGCCCTGAGAAGCTAGGTCAGCACCTGGCCAGGGCTCACCTGCTCCCTGCCGAGCGCCACTGTCTGACCCCACCCTGCAGCTCACCGGGGGGCCTCTTCCGTTGCCTCGGTGGGACACCAGGCAGAGACTTCACAGGTCTTCTGCCTCTCTTTATACACTACACACCTTCCGGTCTGGATTCCTGTGGGGTCAAGAGGTCAGAGAAGCACCGGTGTGAGAGAACCATGAGGGGAAACTCTTGACCCAAGCAAGAGACTGCTTTTCAGCCCACGCAGTTCCAGTTTCCCCGCAACCCCAACCGAACCACAAGCTCATCAGGCTGACCAAGCAATACTCTACACGGCAGGCTTTTTAAAAAGCATCAGAGGACACGGGGAGACCAGGGATGCTGATGGCTCTTTTGGCTTTTTTGCAAGGAAAGATGCCTGAGAGAGGAGCTGGACAGGACATAGTCTCTCCTGGGATAAACGGACCAGAACTTGGCTCCTCACTGGGCAGCTGAGGCCCGCAAGCCGTGTACAGCGTGTACCAGGGATGTGCAAAGTCACGGAATAAACAGGGCACATCTTCCCAGGGCGTCAGGGCCAGTTACAGGTTCCCGAGGGCAAAGTGAAATAGCAAGTGATGTTAACATGACCTCTATACCAACTCAAACACACATATATTATGGAACCAGATGTGACATCCACATGCCCTTTTGTGTGTTGCATAACCACCGATAGTCTTTCTTTTCTTTTATACGGTAACTTTTTATTGTCATGGGCCCTTTAAAATAGGAGACATGGAAATTCTGCAGGATAATATGCATATGGCCCCCAGGTGTCCTGGGGGTACAAGTTCAAGCTCCTCAACCTTTGGGGAAATTCAAGGCGGAAACGTTTAGAATACTCAGATGATGCTATGGGCCATTTGATTTTTCTGTCAGTTAAAACCCTGAAGGTGCTAATTCTGCGGGGTTTTCAGGAGGTTCCTCACTAGGAAATTAACGTCGCATGCATATCAGGTGCTGATCCTACGGGGGCGGAGCCACAGCACCGGCAGACACGGGCTCAGCCGGCTGCTCAGGGTGGAAGAAGGCAGCTGACAGCCAGAGGTAATGATCTCAACTTCACGGCACTGTGAACGTGGCCAGGACGCCAGACCATCCACCCACAGGGTCCCGAAAAGAAACAGAACGTACCTTTGCTCTGTGGGTCCATCCATCCCTTTTTACAGTTCCGGTCGGAGTGACAGAGTGACCAGCGGGTGGGATACTGCAGAGAGAAGGACAGGACAGTGAGGAGTAACAGCAGGTGTCCCTAAGATACGGAAAAGCAGACGTTTATGTCCACACAGAAACCTGTACACAGATGGACATAGCAGCATATTCATAAGAGCCAAAGAGTGGAAACAGCCCAAGTATTCATAATGAATGGACAAATAAAACGGAGTACATTCACGCAGTGGAATATTATTCAGCCATAAAAAGGAACGAAGTACTGACTTACGCTCCAACGTGGACAAACCCTAGAAACGCTGTAGTGAGTGGGAGAAATCAGACACAAAGACCACGTGTTGTAGGGTTCCATTTATGAAAAGTGTCCAGAAGAGGCAAATCCACAGACACAGAGAGCAGATCAGTGGTGACCAAGGGCTGGGAGGGAGGGAATGGGGAGTGACTGGTAATGGATATGAGATTTCTTTGGGGGGGGATGGAATGTTCTGAAGTTAGATAGTGGTGGTGGTTGCACAACATTGGGAATATTCTGAAAACCACTGGACTGTACACTTTAAAATGCTGGGTTTATGGTCGCTGAATTATGTATCACAGTAAAAAATAAAAATCTACAAAGCAGACACCAGGGCAGCCTGGGGCCACTTGCAGGGACAGCCCTCGGGGTGGAGAGCAGATGGCCTGGTCCGGCAGACCGAGCGCAGCAAACAGCATGAGGGCTCAGCAGGGATTGGGGAAACCAGGGGGCCAGCCAGCCCTCCCTCCGGGCTGAGAAAATGAGGTCAGCCAGGTCTCAGGACTGAGGGCAAAGGCAGAAGAAGGAAATGAGAAGCGATGACTTGGCTTCCCATCCCCTAGGCAGCAGTCCAGTGGCCAGTGTCAGGGACAGCAGAGCCCCGCACAGCTGCTGGGGAAACAGCCCTGCTCCTTATCTTCTGTGCAGTTTGTGGCTTCGTTAGAGATCCGGCAGGACCCAGGCAAACCCGGTTTTGGCAATAGCGCACCATTTTCTAGCTGAATGACCTTGGTCAGGTCATTGCACCTGGCTCAGCCTGTTTCCGCCTCTGTAAGAGGATGGACAGATTGGCCTTCAGTGGTTGCTGTGAGGACTGAGCAGGATGGACACAGATCCACGGGAAGGGCGGCTCGGTTCCCGGTGGGCACGATGGCCAGCCTGCAGCGGGAGAGAGCGTCTCCGCCCCGAGCTCTCAGACACTCAGGAGTGCAGACCTCGTCACCGAGCGGGCTGGTGAGCGAGACCTACCGGCCAGGCTGTTCCTCCCACAGGCAGGAAGCCGCTCGGTAAGGTGACAGTGCTGTGCCACTCCGTGTCGGGACGGTCCCTGGTCGAGCACGGGCACGCTACCCGAGTGGGAAGTGGCGGGAGGTTGCCGGTAGCGGGCAGGGGATTCCCAGTCACACATCGCTGTAGATGAACTCACCAGGACAGCTAGCCATCATCTTCAAGGACGGGGGCAGGCCTGGGGAGCGACAGGCTAGGACAAATGCATTCTGATAGGGGAGAAAGTTTTCCAGAAAGGGGGGAGGTGTCAAGAGTATGGAGAGGGCGAAGCCAAGTTGGGAGAGAGCATGAGCGGTGGTGGGGGGACTTGTAGCGTCTCCCTGATACTGAAACTCTAAGAAGTGGGATGAAAAGGCAAACTTGAGCTGTTTGACAATGTCCCCAGACAGTTCACAGTGGATCCCTGTAGGAAAGGCTGTCAAAGAGGACACCTGGCTCTGCCCCCAGCAAGCTGGGTGACCTGGGGAAGTCGCTTAACCTCTCTGATCCGCGTTCCAGTCTGTGAAAGGGGGCTGGGAATGCCGTCACCCTCCTAAGTTGTGAGGCTCCAGTGAAATGTGAAACGCTGCGCAAATGCCAAGGGTCAGTTTTGTCGTGAGCACACGGGAGTGAGCGGGGGGGGGGGGGGGGAGCAGGCCCCCCGCCTGCGCAGACTCCCGGGGCTGGAGCCGGAGCCAGGGACAAAGATCAGGAGGCGACAGAGAAAGCACTGCAGTGCTTCTGACCTTTCCCCCACTCAGCCCAGACCCACACCCCACAAAAGAGGCCCAGTAGGTGTTTGTGAGCTCGAAGACACCCCGCATCTCCGTGTCCACATTCACGTGCCCTTTCTCTGACCTGCGCCTCCTTATCACCAGGAGCTCTTATCACCAGTCTAACTGCTCTGGGTCCCTTCCTTACCTCGGGACACAGCCCCTGCACCTGGTCGTCTGTCTTGAGGAAGTTTGTCATCACAAAGAAGGAGTTCCCCTGTGGAGAAAAGGGGAGCAGTCAAAGGCAGAATCTCTGAGAACGACCTACCTAATCACAGTACTCCAGCTTGCTAAGTGCCTGGGGGTGAACCTTCCCACTCCTCGGGGCTCCAGTCTAGAAATGGGGGCCCGGGAGCCAACTTGGCTCAGCACGGAGGGCTTGCTGCCAAACAAAGGCGCCGGGCCGCCCCGCTGAGCCGAGAGCGGAGCACATGCACTCGGACTGGCTGGCCATTCATTCTCCATCCCAGCCGCACAACAAAACCCCGTTAAATTGAAGCTCTGGAGACTCGAGAGGCAGAAGTGGGGGTGTTGGCTTCGTCAGAGTGCTGTTCAGATTATCTGGGACTTTAATTAAAGGGCAATAGGGCACCCCGCCACCTGGGAAAGAGCTGGAGGTTTTAATGACCCGCAGTTAGAAACTAACAGATAGCAGCTCGGGTTTTATGGTTTTGCAAAGCTTTCCAGCCCCCAGAGGTGGCCGATGTGCCCTTTGTCCCTTCTGCCCCCCCATCTGTTCTCCAGTCCACTTCATCTCTCATTTTTGACGGTTCTAATTTCATTTTCTCCTCTTGCAAATGCCCTTTCTCTGCGATCCACACCCTTCTTTTCTTCCTCATCCGCAGTCTTCCTTTGTGTGAAAAGGTACCCAAGCATGCCTTCCTGGGGACAACGCAGAAGGGCTGGTCTTCTCTAGGCGGAAACGACGTTGCCCTTCTATTGTTTCCCTTTGTTGTGTTTTGTTAATCCTCACCCGAGGATATTTTGTCCATTGATTTTTGGAGAGAATGGAAGGGAGGACAGAGAGAGAGAGAGAGAGAGAGAGAAACATCGATGTGAGAGAGACACCCACACGTACCCTGACCAGGGCTGAGGATTGTACCTGCAACCCAGGCACATGCCCTTGACTGAGAATTGAACGTGCGACCCTTCAGTGTGCAGGCCAAGGCTCTAACCGCTGAGCACACGGGCCAGGGCTCTTTGCCCTTCTGAATGTAGGCAGAGCTTGTTGACTTGATGGCCCTGCTTCTCAAAAAGCAGTGCGTAAATCAAAGTCTGAGTGAATCAAATCGTGTTTCAAATGCACCAGGACACAGCTATTTTGAGAAACCCTGCAGGACTTGATAAAGCAAAGAATCAACTCCTTTGAGCTGTCGGATCTGACCCAGTTTTGCAATTTTTAGGTTTTGTCAGTTGGGATTTTCAGAGTTTTGAAACAGGGCCAGTGTTTTCTGGAGTGAGGCTCTAGGTCCCCGGGCTGGGGGCAGGCCCCGGTGGGCAGAGGCGAGCCCTGGGAGGACGGCTCTGTGCTCACCTGCAAGGGGAAGGTGTAATCCGCCGTGTCGAAGACCCTGCGCACCACCTTCTTCTGTCCGTTCTCCAGCACCTCCTCCTCCACCTCTGCCACGCCTTTGACCTTGGTGTGCACAGAACTGATCAGAGGCTCCTTCCGCTGGTACAGCTTGTCACTCACCAGAGCAAAGCTGAGTGGCGGACACAGAAAAGCATCAGTGTTTTCCCCGGGGAGGCACAGTGCGGTGGTTTGGGGTGCAGGCTACCTCCATTCAAATCCTCGCCTTGCTGGGTAACTCTGGGTCCCCGATTTGCCTTCCCCGTGACTCCTTTTCCTTATGTGAAGGTGGGAAGAATAGTCATACCTACCTCATGGGGTGGTTGTGAGCATGAAATGAGATATATATGCAAACTCCGTAGTATTGTACCGGGCACACAATGAATACATGGCAACTAGTGCCAACCTCTACTCTCGGCTAATACAGACCTTAATTTACAGGACAGCTTCTCAAATACCAGAGTCCACCCCTGTGTCGGTCCACCCAGCGTTGTTCCGGGGCTCAGTAACACGTCAGCATCTGCCTAAGGGTATGTCCAGCTGGTCAGCCACTTGTTTTCCAGAAGGACGCACCTGGTCTGTACATAATAGCTAATAGGTGCCGCTGTTTACTGAGCACTTCTGTGTGCCAAGAATTCTACACACATCACCCCCTTTAGTCCTCACAAAGGTAGCAGATCGTTACTGTAATCACCACCCTCTGTGGATGAGGGAATGGGCTGAGAGGGGGAGGGACTTGCCCCGGGTCACACAGGGCAGAACTGAGGTCCTTGGTCTACCGGAGCCCAAAGCCAGACTTGTTAACCCCTGCGCCACTCGGTCCTGCTCCGGTTCCCTCCTTTCGGCAGCTCATGCAGTTTTAACACCTGACTTAGATACGAGTCTAAGTTATTACGGTGGGGGAACTAGAGAGGGGACGTGGAATTGATGATTAAAAATGGTAGATTTCGGCCCCACTTATGTTTTCCCAGTCTCCCATTATCTGGAATAATTAAGAGTTGATCCTAAATGCTTTCTTTATTCATTCAGCATGTATTTATTTGATCTCTTCCGTCTGCCCAGCCCCTAATATCTGAATGATATTGGGAAGTCTAAGCCAATGGCTGCCCACTAGGAGCGGACCTTGGAAACCAAGATGGGGGGGTGGGGGGGCAACATGTGGTCCCAGCTGTTCTCAACTTTGGCTGTGATGTGTAATCACCCAGGGAGCTTTCGAAATTGCAGCCCCAGACCCATCCCTGGAAACTATGGTTCAGTAGGTCTGGGGAGGTATCCAGGTACCTATATATCTTTTAAAAGTTCCCCTGATTCTGGTGCACAGCCAGGTTGAGAACCCCTGGGGGACTCATGAAAAGACAGCTCATATCTGCCAATACAAAGTCCACCTGAAGAAGTGCATTCCCTACGGCCCAGCAAGTCCACGCTCAGGTGTGAGCCCTAGAAACACCCTCACACAGGTGCCTAAGGAGGCATGTCTAGACTGTTTACAGCAGGAATAACTGAAGATAACCTGAATGTCCTTGAACACCGGATGGCAAATAAGTGAATGGGTTCACACAGTGGGATGCTCTGCAGCGATGAAAATGATGGAGAGCTACTTGTATCAATATGGAAACAACACAGTGTTGAGCGACCAAAGCACACCACGTAATGATGTGAAGCTCAGAGACATCCAAGGCAACGTTGTATACTGAAAGACCCGTCCATGCGTATTAGTAGCAGCACCGTTCACAACAGCCAAAAGGTGGCAACAACCGGAAGCTCATCAGTAGACAACTGGAAAAACAACACGTAGTCTATATCTTATTCGGCCGTGAAAAGGAATGAAATACTGAAATCTACTGTACTATGAATGAACCTCGAAAGCATCATGCTAAGTGGAAGAAGCCAGATCCCGTTCATATGAAAGATCCAGAGTAGGTACATCCATAGAGACAGAGAGTCCATTGATGGTTGCCAGGGGCTCGGGGCAAGGAGAAATGGGAATTAACTGCCGAATGGGCACAGGGTTTCGTTTAGGTGATGAGAATGTCCCAGAACTAGACAGAGGCGGCGTTTGCATGACACTGTGAACATGCCAGATGCCACTGACGTGTCCACTGTGACGTGGTCGATTTGATGCTACATGAATTTCACCTCAATAAGAACAGGAGAAACGTTTTAGAGATGTGGACATACGTTGCAGAAATGTAAAAACAACCACAGAACTACAAGCACCCGCTGCAGGGCGATGGTCATAAGAGGAGAGGAAAGAGGACCGGATGAAGGCTGGGTTCGCAAGGAGCTAACGCTGGACTAGTAATGTTTGACTTTCTAAGTCGGATGGTGGTACACGGGTGTTTATTATATTATTCTCAATATCCTTCAGTATTTCTATGACATTCATTACAAGAGGAAGTTCGTCGAGGAAGACCTTGGGGCAAGAGACCCAGAGTTGAGATCCAGTCTGCCTGCAGGAGCCAGAGCTGGTCGGCGCAGCCCCGGACAACACACTGCAGCTCGGGCACGGCGGGTACGGGTCGGGCACGGGGTCAGGCACGGGGTTGGGCACAGGGTCGTGCAGCACTTCCCCCCTGGGTCCTGCAGCGTTTCCCCAGAACAGCTCTGGGTCAGTCCGCCCCCGTTCCAGAGGCTCAGCTCTGGTGTCTCATATTCCCTCCGGACGGACAGCGTGTTACAGACCAGCCTTAGTGGACTCCAGCCCTCCCGTAAAAGGACGACTTGTCTTTGTACAATAACGAACATATTAAGAATTAAAATGCTTCAAAGCTGCATCAGAAGGAAGAAGAAAAAAAGAGTTTGCAATACCCTTCCCTGTGGAAAGAACATTCTAACCACTGTCCCGGCAGGTCTCTCCCGACTCCCTTGGTGACTCAGACAAGTCATGTCACCTCTCAGGGGCCGTGGGTTCAGTCCCTGCATGAGGAGCTAATGGCCTGGCTTCTTGCGCCCTCTGAGCTTCGGCTGTGAGCAGCTACAATTCTGAGCACTCCGAAGCCTGCAAACACTGGTCCCTGGGGCGCAGGCCTGGTCAGATGGGTAGAGCGATGGTGGGGAGAGGGGAGCCGAGGAGCCTGGGGGGATGGAGAGGAGCCTGGCTGGAAAGGACGGGGACAGAGAGCAGGGGAAGGGACAGTGCGGGCAGCCCGTGGGGCCCTCAGGCTGGCACACTGCCCTTGACTCACCAGATGTGGACGAGGGTGCCCATCACAAAGATGTTCTTCAGAATCCCGATCCACGGGCTCTGAATATGAACGACTTTGGCGACTCTCACCGACTGGCACATCCCGGGGAGTCTGCCCCGCGCCGGCATGATGAGAGGCCTCGAGCACCTGGGGAGAAGCGCCTCCCGGCCAGCCTGGCTCTCCCTCCCAGTGCCCGGGCTCCCGAGCAAAGGTTGCTCTACAGCGACCTGAAAGTGAGCTGTTTAACCACTGCCTGACCAAGGGCCACAGACATGTGGGGGGCCCCTGAAAGAACTGGGGGCCTATGCCCGGCCGTGTGGCTCAGTGGTTGAGTGTTGACCCACGCACCAGGAGGCCGCCAGTTCGATTCCTGGTCAGGGCACATGCCCGGGTTGTGGGCCTGATCCCCAGTGGGGGGCAAGCAGGAGGCAGCCAACCCATGTTCTCTCTCATCGATGTTTCTAGTTCTCTCTCCTTCTCACTTCCTCTCTCTGAAATCAATAAACACAAAAAAGGACCGTGGGCCCTGGGCTCTGTGCCTTCTGTGCCTCATGGAGATTTCGGGCCTGCAGCCTCTGTTCCTTGCGTGTAAAATCCCAAGAGAAGAATCGGACCGTGTCCATCTCTGCTCCACTCACCCGTGTGGGGGGGTCAGCAAATGGCCAAGGAGAAAGTGGCGGAGAGCCTGCACCCCCAAAGCAAGTTAAATCCCAAGTGTATTAGTTTCCTGTTGCTGCTGTAATAAATGACCACGGAATGTGTGGCTTAAACCACCCCAAATGTATTCTCTCACAGATCTAAGGGCAGCGCGCTCAAATCAGGGGGCAGCAGGGCTGGATCCTTCTTGAGGCTCCACAGAGAAGGTGCTCCTCGCCCCCTCCAGCTTCTCCAGGCTGCGGGCTCTCCTGGCTCCCCGCCTCCACTCCAGCCTCACTCCTGCTGCCCCCTCCCCTCCTGCCTCTCTCTTCTAAGGACTCCTGGTTACACTGGGGCCACTCAGATAATCAAGGAAACCTCCCCGTCTCACGACCTTGAATTTAATCACATCTGCAGAATTCCTTTCACCATAAAAAGTAACACATGCACATTCCTGATCTCCGGTGGGGGGGAGGGGCTCAGTCACTGTCCTGACCACTCTGCCTCACTGCCTCCGCACCCTCCTCTCGGTTGCCAGGCACATCCTTGCACGAGAATCTGTTCACACCTAAGACACATTGTACACCTCAGGATGAACCTTCGGATGCGATCATTGTATGTCTCAGACCACACAGGGCTGCCTCGTTCCATGCTTCCGCCAGCAAACCGACAGTGTAGGCACCACTGCTCAAGAGGCCTCGACAAACCAGAGCGTGGTTATGTGGGCTGGGCTGAGATGGTCAAGGTCTGGACACCATGTTAGGGACACAGGGCCGGAGGGGTTAGAGCGACTATTTTGAGGCAGAGGAGAGATACGATAGCAGGGTGCAGCCATAGAAGGGCCACAGGTGGAACTCTAACCAGAAGGGAGAATGCAGGGAGATGGATTTGGTCTCCGGGTGAAGAAGGGATGTCTAACAGTTACAGCAGTCTCGGAATGTCGCGAGCTTTCCTTCTGGTTGCTAGTTGGTGACATTGATGATGATGAAGATAATTTTCTTTTTTAAATTTTTTTTTTTATCCTCACCCGAGGACATTTTTCCATTTTTTGATCAGATAGAGCAGGAGGGAGAGAGAGGGAGAGAGAGGAAGGGAGAGAGAGAGAGAAACATCGACGTGAAAGGGACACATCGAGTGGCTGCCACCCGCACGACCAACCAGAGCCGGGGGGACAAACTGCAACCGAGGTACGTGCCCTTAGCGGGAACCGAACCCGGGTCTCTCGGTACCGCAGGCCGACGCTCCAACCGCTGAGCCAAACTGGCCAGGGCTGATGAAGATAATTTTCATTTATCTCCTCATCTCCCTCTCT